TGATTGAAGGTTTAAGTGTATTAACTGTCTTGGAGCGTCACAGTGCAATCAAATACCCCGCAACACGCACTGTCAGAGCTGGAGAAGCAAAGGCAAGCCTTCCCTTTGTACTAATGAGTCCTTGTTAGGTAGATAGCCTAGGTGGCTTCCAGATCAGATTCATCTGGGACCCACTGCAGGCCCTGCTTCCCAGGGGACACACAGAGATCTCCACAGACATTTGTATTGGTGGCGAGAGAAGTGCCCCTCATGCCGAGTGATAGTTCAAAAAGCTGTCCACATTTATCACTCCCAGAGAGGGTATAAACAGCACCCAACACAAGGTGTCATGGTGCCAAGGGCCAGAACTCACTCGGTATCAGCGAGTGAACAACTTTGAAAATAGTCTTGCCAGGAATGACAGCGCCTGGGGTAGGTCAGATGTCAGAGGACCCGTCACACCATGCAAGAGCACTCCAAAGAGGAGGCTCTGAGGACAACTCTGGTCTAAGCTTAGGCTTCAACAATTTAAGTGTGTATGTATTTGTGCGTGTGCACGCATGTGTGTGAGTGTGTGTGGTGGCAGGGTTTCTCACTTGGCCTGGAGAGAACAGGTAGGCTGGACTAGCTGACCCGTAAGCCCCAGAGAACCTCTCGTCTCTCCTGTCTTCTCAGCTCTGCGGTTGCAAGAATGTGTCATGCCTGTTTTTTTTTACATGGATGTTGGGGGATTGAACTCAGGTCTTCATGCTCATATTGCAAGCCCTCTGCTGACTGGACTATCTTCCCAGCTTCATATAAAACTTTCAGTGGATGGTTCCCCATCCATGTGGCTCTGGGATGTTCATAAATCTGGTTCAAGGAGAACGAGTCACATCTGATGGTTCTCAAGGAGCTATTCTCGTCTCTTCCACTGGTTTTGTCTTTTTTCCAGGCAGAGACAAGCGCTGAGAGGAGAGGGTCTCACAAGTACACAGGCCACATGTGACCTAAAAGAGGTTAACTTTCTCCTAACCGATTCCTGAATGACTGCAGCTGAGAATCGTTTAAAACTAAAACGCGTCTGACCATGACGACCAGGAGGCCACGCTCAACATTTGCTGAGATATTGCCTTGCTACTTTTTTAAAAAAAATTATTTTCATTTTATGTACATTGGTGTATTGCCTGTATGTATGTCTGTGTGAGGGTGCTGGATCCCCTAGAACTGAAATTTACAGACAGTTGTGAACCGCCATGTGGGTGCTGGGAATTGAACCTGGATCCTCTGGAAGAGCAGCCAGCGCTCTTAACCACTGAGTCATCTCTCCAGCCCCGCCTTGCTTTCAGTCTTACCTGTTCTACCAAGAAAAACATCATATGAATTGGGGTAATAATTACTTATGGATTGAGAAAGCAGCTGAAATAGTTTTATTCGTTTGTCTGTTGTTATTGTTTGAGACAGGGTCTCACTATGTTGTAGTCCAGAGTGGTCTTGAACTTGTAGCAATCTTCTTGCTTTAGCCTCCCCAGTGCCTATAATGTCAGCTTTCTAGTTGTTTAATTGTTTTTTATTCTTTTCCTTTTCCTTCTTTTTTCTTCTGAGACAGGGTTTCTCTGTAGTTTTGGAGCCTGTCCTGGAACTAGATCTGCCTGCCTCTGTCTCCCGAGTGCTGGGATTAAAGGTGTTCGCCACCACCACCCGACCCATCTTTCTGATTGTTAAACTCATATATGAGTTTGGTCATTTTATTTTTGAAATGGGTTTGTTTTCTCTGTCAAAGGAACACAATTACCAAGTGTTAATTTTCACATATACACAAGAGTGTGTAATGAACCGGACTGAAAACTTGCTAATTAGATCCATTTTTTTAGCCATAATGTTGACAGAGAAATTGACAAGTGTTTTTCAGTTATGATTTATGGGACATAACTCTCCAAATCCATAGGCACGAGGGAACCTGGTTACTAATGACTCCCACGCACAAGGCGAGGCTGCTGTCACTGCCCTGGAGACCCTGCAGACTCACATAAAGTCATCAGTATAACACGGAGAGATCCTGCTGCCCCGTTCCCCAGTACATACGACGACAAATACCTGAAAACCTATAGGCCGCTCCCACAGCAGGGCACAGCAGGGCACAGTCTGACTGAGCATCCAGCTTACCAGCATTTGCTGGCTCCCCCATTGCTGTACTCTGGCCATATCCACTCTTTACCCGTGATGTCACCAGCCTGCTCTCTAGTCCCAGCTGAGCCATTCTGGGAGGCTGAGAAAACAGAATCATGGAGCCCGATTATTCTGAGATCAGCTCAATAGTTCCCTGGAGATGACCCGGTCCTCTGTGCACACGCACCTTTTCGCAACTAATTGGCAGGGTGAACTACAGTTTGACCAACCATCCGGGAGCTGAAGGGCATTTTGATTATTTGCAGGACTTTGCTATTATGAACAAAGCTGCTGTAACCATTCCTATATGCCCCCACCCTCCCTGACCAGCTCTGAGGAGAGAACAAGTTTTAAATTTGACCAAGGTCTGAGTTATCATTTTTTTTTTAGATTGGCTGACTGTTGCAAGTTTATTTCCAATGGAAATTGCCAAGGCGTCTTCCAGAATAGCTGGACCATTTTGCATCCCATCAGTACTGTGGGCAAAATGAGTCCTTGGCACTGCCAAAACTGATTACCACCTCCGAATTTTGTTGTTACGGCTGAAGACCAAGCACAATAGGTTGTTCTGTCTCTGGTTCACTCCCGTCTGTCTACGCCAACCTTGGCCGAGCTCATCCCTGGAGAATTCCATCTAATTTCTTGTATTTCTCAGTTCTAAATTTCTCAGCCAGTTTGTATTTGTGTCTCTGATCCACGGTGGTGGCTCCACTTGCTCACATCCCTCCGCAGCTCTGGTTGTTCACTGGGGCATCTTCACAGTAGGGGATTATATCGCTGTCCGGAAGTTCTAGTGTCTGGCCATCTTGACCTCAGATCTGCTGATTGTCCTTTCTTCCTCATTTTGAAATCTTTCTAATTCTTTGTATGGTGGCAGAATTTGCTGGACTCTGGACACCTGTGTCCCATGTTGCCAGATTCTCCACTGTGGCTGAGTCCTGTTGACACCAGGCTGCAAGGCACTGAACAACAGCTAGTGACTGGCAGGTGGAAGGAGCCCAGGTTTCCCCTGTGACCTCTGCCTACATCCGAGGATGGCGCCTCAAGACTCCGGGCAGAAGCTTTCCATAGGCATCCCGTGACTGGGAGGGTGGGGTGCTGTGGAGCTTCTCATGGGAAACCTGGTCCATCTCCAGCCCCTGAAATGTACAGGGCAGGGGAGCAGGGAGAGCATATGCTTGCTCTTTCGAAGGGTAGGCACCAGGCTTCCTGCCCACATTGACTCTAGCCCATCACAGAAGTGCAGGCCTCTGGTCCTCTTAGGCACTCATTCACACAACCCGCTGACTTCCTCAACTGTGTCTGTCAGTGAGACCAACATCTGAGGAAAAGGTTGCTTCTTTTAGACTATTGTGGCCAAACAAATTTGGGTTTTGTTCTGCAGCTCACAGTCTCTGATTTCTCACTTCCCAAACATAGTACTAACAGTCTAACAGTGTGGGTGTCGAAAGAAAAACAACAATTAGACTCTCAATGAAAATTCCCAGCGACGGTAACACAGTCAACAAACAGCAGTGAAGGGACTCAGGTTAGACATCAAGACGTTTTTAATGACTGACTCGAGGAATGCTGGGGCACACAGCAGAGGAAATTAGAAAACATCCTTCCTTCATTGCCAGAGTTTAGGGCAATTATGGTCCTCCACCACCTCTAGTCTGGGGGCTATGTTAATTGAGATAGTAAAGAAGGCAGCTCGGGGTGCCCCACCAAGGCACCTTTGGGTCAGCCTGAAGAGGTGGTGACTTATGGAGACAGAGCTATGGGCGGCACAAGGCAAGACTGCAGGAAAGACGGCCTCCTTCATCTACCCAGGCATGGCTCCGGGAGCACCCATGCTGTGTGCAGAAGAGGACCCTCCACTCCCTGGGTGGAAGACCAGGAACTGAGTGGGAAGAGCAGGTCAAGCTTGGCCACACCATGCCTGTCTCTTCACCTGTCAGTCATGCCTGAGAACATATGCAGGACCTGAAAACACCCGAGAAGAGCACACAAAACAAAACCCAGAGAGGGACCGGGAAGAACGGGAAAGATGGAGGAGAGGAGGGGAGAGCAAGGGGGAGCTGGGGAAGCGTGGGTGAGGAGGAGAGGTTATGAGGGGAAGGAGGAAGGAGGAAGAAGGAGGGAGGGTGGGCAGGGCAGGCTAGGAAGAGAGAATGAGTAGGTGAGGGTAAAGGGGAGAGGTAAGGAGGAGGAGTTAGGAGATGCAGGAAGGGAGGGGAGGAAGGGAGGGAAGGGAAGAAGGCAGGTGAGGAGAGCCTGGCCCTGGACAGAGTGTGGGGTGCAGGGAGAGCTCCAGGAACCAGACTGAAGCGGGCATACTTGAGAGGAGGCAGGTGGACACTCTTTGCGCTCCGTGAGTGGGCAGGGCCGCTGCGGCACAGTGGTCACCTGCCTTCCTAACGGTTCTCCCTGCTGTGAAGCTGCTGTTCTTCCCGCAGAGGCTGGGGTGACAGAAGGGCCCGTGTCCCTGCAGGAGGAAGGCAGAAACTCCAAGCTCCATCCTCCAAGAAACACCTGCCCCCGCAAGGCAGGCAGGTAAGAGAGAGGCAGGTTGAGGAGGCTTTGAGCTCTCTGAAGGACGATGATACCTTCCCACACATACCCATCATGTGGGTTTTTAATACATGAAACTCAGTGTTAGTTCCAAAAACAGCTCCCCCGTGCCAGCTTCCCCAACCCATAAGCAGGGACGGCATTCCCAGAACACCACGGGCATCCTTGGTTGAATGTTCATCCTTTGCTTTTTCCTCCACATCCAGTCTACCGTCCAACTGTAATGCTATCTGCCATTTAATGTTGCCTTGGGGCTGCACATGGTGGACCCTTGCTTCTTCCCAGGCAATAGGCCCTTGCTCAACAGCCCCGTTCCTTACCCGTGATGATGGTTTCCAGGCGGGGCCTCATCCTACGTGCCTATTGTCATCTGGTGCCATCTCGTGAGATCTCTGCCCGGGCCTCTCAAACCCCTGTAATGATAGGACAAATCCCATGTTTAGTTTAGGGACATCCAGCCCTTGGAGAAATCAGGAAGCATTCCGTTCCTTACAGCATGCACACAGCCATCCACTGCCTTGATTTTCATGTGGCTTTGGGACCCCATGGAATTAGTCTCCGCCGCCCTGACCCCTGGTTAAAAGCCATTTCAGGGACCTTTTACATCTATTCTGAGAGCATTTAACTGAATCACAGTGGTTTGTGCTTTCTCTCCCAACAACGTCCTCACTGTGCAAATGAGCCTCCCAGCGCAGGGTTCTGACAAGATGAATGAAAACATAATGGCTTCTTGGAATCGGCTCCTCTTCCTTAGCGGTTTGTCTTCCGTTAGCAAATGAGACACAGGTTCGGGAACATCACACCAGAGAAGGCAAGAACCAACTCCCGAAGCTCAGACCCAAATCCCAGCCTTTCCCATCCAAGGGTCCTCACCAGACAGAACCTCCTCTGCCTCGCTCTCTGTTCACGCCACGTGTCCTGCTCCTTCAGGAAAAGGGCTTTGCTCTGTACTGTGGATCCCACCCGCCCACAGTGGGAGGAGTGGCTCTTCTCATCTCCTCTTTCCCAAGCTCCCCTGCCAGGTTCTCCCTTCTCCAGAAAGACAGAAACTCCCTCAGACCTGTGGCTCTAGCCAGGCTATGCCTGTTTCTCACTCTCCAACCCATATCTCTGAAGGAGGGCCTCCACCCTACCACTGCCAAAGTGGTGCCTAACCCCAGGCTCACAGGCCTCGTGGATCATCCATCTAAGGGTCCTAACTAGACAGAACCCCCTTCCAAAGCCCCCTCTGCTTCGCTCTCTGTTTATGCCCATGTCCTGTTCTTCCCTGCCCTCCCTCCTGAAGGTTGCCCTTCAATCGCTGGCATCCCCACTGCGCTCCACTCCCCGAACCTTTAGCTGTTCCTCTGTTTAGCTTGGTTGACTTCTTGACTTAGAAAAGTGGCTGTTCAGCTTGGATGCTGTGGCCACAACAGGATAAAAAAGAAACAGGATGCTCATTCTTGGCTGTTTCCAGGACTTTACACTTCCCTGGAAGGCTGCAGTTTGTTCCTTCAGTCCAATCTGGTTTTCTAGCGAACTCCATCCACCGCAAAGCAGTCCCCGAGGCTGTCCCCCGACAGCAGGAGTCTTTACTAAGGTGTTGCTGCTGTGACTCCCTGCGTGTGAGGGGGCTGGAGTTCATCAGGAACACCAGCTGCTCTCTCTGCTGCCTTCCAAAGGGCAGTCACAATACGCAGCAACAGATCGTGTGGCGGTGGGGTGAAGTGGGTGTCAACAGAAGGCAAGGCCTTCAAAGACAGGCCCAGGAACTTCATGGTTCTATTTCAGAAATAGTCTACAGCTAGCTGCCACTCTGAACATGCCCGATCTCATCTGTTTCAGAAATACAAAGATCTCCTGCCCCAGCACACAGGCACTAATAACCACAAATCGACCAGCTACAAAGATGCTCAGCATTGGCATGGGTTTGACATGAGATGTCCCCCTAGACTCATATGCTGAAGCCTTTGTCCCCAGTGCTCAGGTACATATGAATAGCTACACAGACACACACACATATGTATGCACATGGACACAAAGACACAACCACACACAGAGACACACGAATGTGCAAGGACATACATAGACATAACAAATAGATATACCGGCACACACTGACATGCATGTTCTCACAGACACACATGCACACATGTTCACACAGGCACATCCAAACAGACAGACACACACACACACACACGACACATATATGCTCATACGGGTATAAAGGCACACACACAGGTATTTATACAGACACATGGATGCAAAGTGTGTACATATATGCATGTACAAACACATTTCCATGTGTACTCAGGCATCTCTGCATGCCTATATGCCTACAGGTTTTAAGAATATTGTGTTCCAGAATAGCTGTAACTGCTAATTCCGTTCCAGCACATAGGAAGAGGAGGATAATTAGTGTATTTGTATGCAAATGCACGGTTAAGACCATTTTTCCCCTCTGAAGTGGTTATTTACGTCAGCATTTTTGCTGTGGAGCCCAGAGAAGAGGGACTTAGGTCCAGCCCACGGAGCTCTGTCTGAGGACCTGCAGGCAGTAAGGGTAACAGGGCATTACCGCGCTAAGAACACAGCCTCGCACCACCCCGGCACACCTGAGAGTCCCTCTTCTCTGGACCTTGGATGCTGTTCTCTCTTTCATGGATATAAGTCCTGATAATCTTGAGCCCTCTTAAGGTGTCACATCTGAGAGTCATGGTAACCAACTACCAAGTCCTGGCCTCCTGCTCCACCAGGGGTTGGAGTGAATTCTTCCTAAGGCCAAGGAGACCATCTGCCTGTGATATATTCACCCTGGATGGGGACCAATGAGCAGGATGTTCAGAGGCAGAGATGATGACAGCGATGGAGAAACTAAGGATCTGATTTGGAATTCTCATGGTTGCTTGAGGAGAGGGTCCACTCCTGCCTGTCAGTGTGATAGCAGTGTGTCACTATCGATGGCATGTCCTACACCAGGAAGAAACTTAGATGTGTGGGCAAGGTGTCCAGAGGGGACACTGGGGGTACATGTGACTACACACTGTAATACAAGATGGGTGTGTACCAAGGGCCAAGGGTCAAAGAGAGCCACTGAGGGCTGGGGTAGACACGGATGTGCATAGACCCACTGGGAACCAGATGTAGACACAGGTCAACTGAGGATCAGGGGTGAGCGCAGATGCATTGAGGTTCAGGGATAAATGTAGACATACTGAAGGCCAGGGATAAACCCAGGTTCACTGAAGGTGAGGGGTGGATGTAGATTCACAGAGGACCATGGGTGAATACAGATACACGGAAGATCAAGGCTGGACACAGATCCACGGAGGATGAAGGTTGGACACAGATCCACGGAGGATGAAGGCTGGACACAGATCCACGGAGGATCAGAGTGGACGTAGTTGCACTGAGGGTCAATCATCAAGGGTCAAGGTAGACATGGAGCCACTAATGACCACTGAGTGCCAGGCTAGAACAGAACCATAAGGGTCAAGGGTGGGCACACCAAAGATCAGGATGGCCTGAACTGGCTGTAGATTCCTCCAAGCTCCAGCTCTGTTCCCAAGAGTCTGCTGTTGCTGGCAGCCTGCCTCTGGGGAGAGTCTGGGTCTTGGCCAGCGGAGGTCAATGCCCAGCACACACAGATTAAACCAGGTTCCTGAGAAGCAAACCCAGCACTTCACAGAAAATGACCAAAAACCAGGACACATTTCAGACAATTAAATTTTACTTTTTAAATTTTATGCATTAAGTTTACGGGAGCGTGAGGTGCTTATGTGAATGTCTGGACAAACGCTTGGTAGATGCACATCTTTGGAAGCCAGAGGTCAGCATCAGGTGATTTCTTTGATTCCTCCCCAGTTTATTTATTAAAAATTTAAAAATATCTATTTATCTCATGTACATGGGTGTTTTGCCTACATGTATGTATGTGTCTGGCATGGATGGCGGTCAAAAGAAGGCATTGGGTCACCTGGAACTAGAGTTACAGATGTTTCTGAGCCACCACGTTAATGCTGGGAACTGAACCCGGGTTCTCTGCAAGAGCAACAAGTGCTCTTAACTGCTGAGCCATCTTTAGCTCCCCTGACCTCCACTCTAGTTTTTGAGTCAGGGTCTTGTACTGAACATGGCGCTCACTGATTGGCTAGGCTGGTTAACCATGAGCTCCAGAGAGACACTTTCCTCTGCAGAGCTGTGATTGCAGATGTGGGCTGCTGTGAGCAGTTTCACATGGGTTCTGGGCATCATCTGAGCTCGGGTCCTCATGCTCGCATGACAGACTCTTTACCAACCGAGACATCTCCCAGCCCCGAGAGTTTACTTCACAGTTATTATGGTTCTTAACTGATGATGTCTTTTCCAACTTTACTGAATAAATGAGTAATTATTTCAGGCCCCTCATCACATGCAAGGCACACAGTGTTAAACTGGGGTGTCTGCTGCTCCATTCTGAAGACCACACTGCGCTATGTGGGTAGCTATGTATTAGGGCCAATGCTGGGCTCTCAACACCCTGTTAGCCTGGTTTCCAGGGGACACTCTTTAGGGGTTATGCATGGTCCCCAGACCTGGAACTGCTAACCTTTCCTTAGCATCAGCCTCCTTCACCTTGGCTTATGCTCAGAAAAACTCTTCTCACTTTGGTACCAATGTTTTTGTATTTGTCACCCTTGGCAAATACAAAATCCTTCCCTTATGCCCCTGCACCCCAAGACCACAGGCATCACATCAGCTGGACCCCCCTCCTGACAATATTTGAGGCAATCCAGGGGGCAGGCCCATGGAGTTGAAATGGACTCAGAAATCCAAGCCTTCCCTTAAGACTACGCATTTTCTTTAGTCTTTCCATTGGTTCTAGTGGGAACAGTGCCCCGAGACAGCGCTCGGGCGATACACAGGTCATAGGGAGCCACTTATGGCAGGAGTGGACACCCGAAGAAGCTTCGTAGTACACAGATTGGGTATGGAATTCCAGGCAATTTTCACTTCTTCCTTGGTTTTTCCCTGTTGTGTTTTTCCCTTTAAGATTCTTTTGAACAAAAGATACAGGTAATTTTAGTAACAAGAGAAAGGATTGAAACCATTCCAATTTTAGGAGAGAAAATATCATCTTACAGTTTTTTTTATAGGAGAGTGTAGTCCCTGTGAAATGATAATGAGTCATCTTATGCACCCAAACCCTCATGGACATCCTTGGTGTGAAGTCTGTGGCTATCCTGGGGTCGTGTGTGAAGCCTGTGGACGGCCTGGGGTCAGGTGTGAAGCCTGTGGATGACCTGGGGTCGTGTGTGAAGCCTGTGGACGGCCTGGGGTCGGGTGTGAAGCCTGTGGATAACCTGAAGTCAGGTGTGAAGCCTGTGGATGACCTGAGGTCGGGTGTGAAGCCTGTGAACGGCCTGGGGTCAGGTGTGAAGCCTGTGGATGACCT